TCCGGCAGAAAAACTGATATGTTCTGGGTCGATAACGCGCTGTGCAGACAGTGCAGACTGGCCGAATAATAGTCCAGACTAGAGCTGGCTGGTGGGTGGTGCAGGCCACGGACAATGGTGAAAAACCGCTAACGGTAGCTGATAGCAAGTAGCTAGTTAGCTGGCTACTCCCGTCCGGTAGACCTAGAGGTAGATATGAGCCTGGCTCTAGGCTAGCTCGAGGCTAACTGGTGCTTGCATTGGGGGCAGTGGTGATTAGCCAGACAGCAACATCCATTCGGTTGCGGCTAGCTAGTTGCGATCCGGTGATTAATGTCCAGTGATTAAATTATTCCCGCAGAAAAATCCAATGTTCTGGGTGAAACACCGCTAACTGTGGCTAATAGCAAGTAGCTAGTTAGCTGGCTAGCTAGTTTCAACTGGAGATTCTAGATAAAAGGTAAGTCAATAATAGAATCCGTTCCACATTGAGTGAGGCGGGTTGCAGGAAAGTATATTTTGTAGAAGGATGAAAAGTCTGATAGGGAAATATGTACGAAAAATACAAAAAAACAGGGTATTTACAGGCTATTTACAGACACACGACAAAAACAGGACTGCACTACTACGCCATCTTGGAGAGAACAATCAATGGGATAGAGGGAACAATGAATGGAGCCAAATACAGGCAAATCCTTGATGAGAACCTGCTTCAGAGTGCAAACAACTTTAAGACTGGGACGAAGATTTACGTTCCAACAGGACAATGACCCCAAGCATACAGCTAAAACAACGCTGGAATGGCTTCAGAACAAGAATGTGAAAGTCCTTGAGTGGCCCAGCCAAAGCCCAGACTTGAATCCCATTGAAAATCAGTGGAAAGACTTGAAGATTGCTGTTCACCGCCATTCCCCATCTAATTTAACAGAGCTTGAGAAAATCTGCAAGGAAGAATGGGAGAAAATCCCCAAATCCAGATGTGCAAAGCTGATACAGACATACACAAGACGACTCAAAGCTGTAATCGGCGCCAAAGGTGCTTCTACAAAGTATTGACTCAGGGGTGTGAATACTTTTGTAAATTATATATTTCATTTTCAATAAATTTGCTAAAATTTCAAAAAACATGTTTTCACTTTGTCATTATGGGGTATTGTGTGTACATGGGTGTGAAATAAAATCTATTTAATCCATTTTGAATTCAGGCTGTAACACAACAACATTTTGAATAAGTCAAGGGGTATAAATACTTTCTGAAGGCACTGTATGTCGCATGTGAACCTTCGTTCAAGTCGTCATACTGTGGGTGAACAATGTCAAACTAATCAGATAGCATTGAATAGAGTTCTGTGCTGTATACCCACTAATTGCGTGCAATCTCCTGACAAAGACAGGAATAATGAAGAAACTGATTGCAATAGAAAGAAATTGTAGTACCTTGCTTACGTTTCATTTACTGTCCATGTTAAGCCTTCATGGTCAGTGATGAGTCATAGTGACGTTGTGTCTCTCTATCTCTGTCTCGCTCTCTGTCTTGTCTCAGGTCGCTCTGGCATTTTGTTATTGTTGATGGCCATTGTGGCAGTTTTTGACTCAGCGTGTGGAGTTGTTTTCTATAATGGCTGGAGCCTTTCAACTAACCAGAGATCTCTGGTTAAACTGACAGCTAGCCTCCGCGTCCTGTCTGGGTTGGATTGATGTATTCTTAACGTCACAGGGGCTGAGTGCACTGAAACTATTTGCAGAGGAGAGCGTAGGGCCTGGCTTGACCCTTAGGGAAAAACCACAAGATTTCACATGTAGAAAATCACATGATTTCACATGTGAAAACATGTTTTTGGAACACTTCTCATGTGAAAACAAAAATTGGTCATTATGATACACACACACAGTGCTTTTAACTTACACACTTTGACTACATTGTGTATGTTTATTGATACAGTAATTATTATTCAATGTGTCCTCACCTGGGATTTGAACTCACAACCTCTTGGTTCACTGCATTCCAATCTTTCTGCTATGACATTACGTCTGTCAATAACTGCTTTCACCTGTATTTCTACACTTTGGATCTCAGCTTTGTTAAAAAATACACTCAAGAAAAACTATTATATTTATCATAGTTATTCAGGAGTAATATTAAAACAGAATAAAATGCCCCACCAACATTAGACAACTATATAGAAAACCCTAAAATTACTGAAATAAGTAAATGAAATCAATGATGAGAGAATAGTCAGATTAACTGATAACTAAACTGAACAAAAATATAAACGCAACATGCAACAATTTCAACGATTTTACTGAGTTACAGTTCATATAAGGAAATCAGTCAATTGAAATAAATTCATTAGACCCTAATCTATTGATTTCACATGACTGGGCAGGGGCGTAGCCATGGGTGGACCTGGGAAGGCATAGGCCCACCCACTTGGGAGCCAGGTCCACCCACTGAGGAGCCAGGCCCAGCCAATCAGAATGAGTATTTCCCCACAAAAGGGCTTTATTACAAACAGAAATACTCCTCAATTTCATCAGCTGTCCAGGTGGCTGGTCTCAGACAATCCCGCAGGTGAAGAAGCCCGATGTGGAGGTCCTGGGCTGGCGTGGTTACAAGTGGCCTGCAGTTGTGAAGCCGGTTGGACGTACTGCGAAATTCTCTAAAACGACGTCGGAGTTGGCTTATGGTAGAGAAATTAACATTAAATTATCTAGCAACAGCTCTTGCGGACATTCATGCAGTCAGCATGCCAATTGCACACTCCCTCAAAACTTGAGACATCTGTGGCATTGTGTTGTGTGACAAAACTGCACATTTTAGAGTGGCCTTTTATTGTCCCCAGCACAAGGTGCACCTGTATAATTATCATGCTGTTTAATCAACTTCTTGATATGCCACACCTGTCAGGTGGATGGATTATCTTGGCAAAGGATAAATGCTCACTAACAGGGATATAAACAAATTTGTGCACAAAATGTGAGTGAAATAAGCTTTTTTATGGAAAGTTTCTGGGATCTTTTATTTCAGCTCATGAAAAATGGGACCAACACTTTACGTTACGTTTATATTTTTGTTCAGTATAAAATAGCAGTGCATATGGCATTATCTTGCTAAGTGCAGAGATATATTATAGGTCATTGATATGACGTGTTTTATACAGGATTTGTTCATGTTTTTGATATTACGTGCTGCATATGATTTTGAGGATGAGGAAGGTCTGCGTGCCAAAGAAGGCTTGGGGGCCACTGATGTTAATCTTAGAATGAGTATGTGATGGAATGTCCTGACTGGGGTGCAAGATGATACTATTGTAGTTGGGAGTGACACCCAATAATGGTTGGCAACTGTTGGATGGAATTAGCTTGCAAAGCAGTATATAAACTGAGAGATTTTCTATGTATATCATTCAAATGACAAGTGGCAACTCACGTGCAGCTTGTCATGTTGAATCCAGTACCATATATTAAATACATGTATCAACTCTCCATCTAAGTATTCAAGTATCTTCTTGCATATTGAATTCCTTGATACCAGATAAACTCATCATAACAGTAAGGAATGTGTAGGGGACTGCTACAGACTTTGTGGCACAGCAGGATAATCTATGCACCTCAACTCCAGACGTTGTGAGTTCAGATCCCAGGTGGGGTCATATTTTAAGTAAGCATTTCACTGTAATGTCTGCACCTGTTGTATTCGGCGCATGTGACCAATAAAATTTGATTTGATTTGATTTGATTTGATTTTAGCTGAACAGCGTACCGCTTACTTTAAAATCACAATTTTATTACTTTACTTAGAATAGTTTTGGATGGTTTGGGACAATCTGGGACCATTACGTGACGTCCTGACGACCGGTAAAACAAATGGTCCTCACCCTTATGGAAAAACCACATGAATTTCACGTGTTTCACATGTGAAGGAACATGTGATAACATGAAACTACGTATGTTACAACATGTGAACACGTGAAAACATGATCTTGTGAAATAAATGTGACACATGGGGATGCAAATATGAAACTACACACATGCAATTTCACTTACCCATGTTCTCACATGATTTCACATGTGAAATGTTATATGTGAAGTGTTCCAAAAACACATTTTTACATGTGAAATGCCTTTGAATGTGGTATTGTAGTAGGTGCCAGGCGCACCGGTTTGTGTCAAGAACTGCAACGCTGCTGGGTTGTTCACGCTCAACATTTTCCGTGTGTATCAAGAATGGTCCACCACCCAAAGGACATTCAGCCATCTTGACACAACTGTGGGAAGCGTTGGAGTCAACATGGGCCAGCATCCCTGTGGAACGCTTTCAACACCTTGTAGAGTCCATGCCCCCGACAAATTTAGGCTGTTCTGAGGGCAAAAGGGAGGGGTGCAACTCAAGATTAGGAAGTTGTTCCTAATGTTTGGTATACTCAGTGTATATGCCACTTAGCAGCAAACACTTTTATCCAATGCAACTTACAGTAGTGAGTCCCATACAGTGTTAGTATTTGATTTGAACCCACGACCTTAATGCTAGTGCCACGCTTTTAGCAACTGAGTCACAAAGGACCATCAACACACTAGACTTGCTGGCTTAGTCAGAAGGTAAGGTCCTTGGTTTTCACAGCAATGTGGATGAATGTGCACTCGCTCTGTCCCTGCCTCCCTGTCAACTCATTACCATTTAAATAGAACTTTGGCTACCTCTGAATTTTCTAAACATTGCACTAGCTAGCTTCAAGGATTTACAGAAAATAGGATGGGGTTTTACTTTAGAAACACAACATGCAAAGGCATTGATTTGAACATTTTATTAGGATGGAACAAGCCTGCATACTGCGAGAATTAGATGGGGGGAGAGAGAGAGAGAGAGAGAGAGAGAGAGAGAGTCTGATTGGTGGTAAATTCAATGTTCCGACTGCTATCAACAGAGGATCCATCATAGTGAGGACTTGTGTGTATATATATGTGTGTGGGGGGGGGGAATCACTGTGTGTGTGAGAGAGAGAGTGGGAGCGAGAGACAGAATGATGGAGAGGAACATAATGTGGTGTGAGCCAAACAGTGGGTGGGTGAGAGTGGGCGAGCATTCGTTCAGAGGACAAAGAGAGAGAGAGACGAGGGGAAGGGAGCCAGGCTTATACTATTGATCCTCTCCTCTCCTCTGTCTGGGGGGGTGGGGGGGGGGGGGGGGCTTTCTATCTATATTAATGACGTGTCAGATGTATCTAGTAATTGACCTTTTCATAGTGATGAGGGTTAATTCATTAACACTGTGTGTGGTGTAACTGTGGGTCTGGTGCTCGTCTACTGGTTGAGTTGTGCTATGCTGCTGCTATGCTGCTCATTACTGTTGAGTGGAGACTGGAGAGGCTTAACGTCGTCCTTCGTACAAGTCCTGTACTCACTACTCATAACAAGTAGCCTACTGTACTCATATAGGCTATTACCAGGACATTACTCTCGCGTTGCCATACCTCTAAAATCACGTCGTTGTCACGCCTCCTTAAGCCTGGTTCGCGACGAAGCTACCAGGACTAGCTCTCATATGAAACCATCCTCCTCCTCCTAACCACCTTCTAACCTTGTCTGACTAATCCTTTACTCAGAGAAGAAGAGAGGAGGAGAAGTAAAGAGTCAAACATTCTGCCCTTACCCTCCCCTTCTTTTTTCTTCCCTCTTCAAGCAGTGGGAGAACGAGCAGCTCCACAGTCTGGAGGAGAGGGGTCGGTTGCTCCTCTCCCTGCAGTTCCTTCCCCCGCTAGACGCGGGCGAGGAGGGAGGAGGGGGGCGGAGAGGAGAGGGGTTGTGTGTCGGTGTGCAGCGCTGCGCTCACCTGGCCGCCATGGACGTCAACGGCTTCTCAGACCCCTACGTCAAAACGTAAGCGTGTGTCTGTCTTTGTGTTTGTGTGTGTCCACGTCAAAAACTATACAAATCAGACATGAGTTGTTACATCATGAAGGAAAGGCATTACTGCTACGGCTATATCTGTACGACTTAACTCATTTTAGTTTATAGGCCAAACAGTTCGGACACTACAGGCGTTTTTGATGTCTCATGGTCTGACAAACCAGATGCGGAAGGCTCACATAGGCAGATGTGATGGATTGAAAACCTGATATCTCTAGTTTAAATTGATAGATTTTGGTTGGGATTTTTTTATTATGTTACTTAGATTGACGCATGGGTACGTCAATAGACTCTTAAAGAAATAAGAAATAGCAGTGAATCTCCTGTAACGTACTACAGAAAAACCAAGGATCACGGAGAAGATAATAGACTGTTAGATGTCATTGCAGGAAGTTGTTGTGAGACTAAGGGCTGGATTCAATCCGTATCACCGAAGATCCTCATAAAAATGTAAAGGTAATTTCCGATTGAGTCGACATGCAGCGTTTACTGTGAATGCAGTCTCCGCGAACGTGGGAACATAGCCTTTAACTGTCAATCACGCTATAAAGTGGATCTTCAGCACTACGGATTGAATAGAGCCCTATAGTCTTGAAAAAGGCCTCGCTGCCAAAACGTCAACACTAAACAATAAACACTGCACACTAGAGATGACTGACAACCGACCTCGACTTTAGAAAAAATATATATTCTTAAATATCCGTTCTCCTTTCCATCCTAATATCTTCATTCTGGCTCTCAACGATGTCTGACTAGAAGGAGGGGGTTAGTTTTACTTCAGCTTTAGGCATTATTATTCAAGCCAAGCAGGAATTAAGGAAGCTGGAGATTGAGAGGAGGGTATAAAGGACAAGTTAACAGTATAATATATCAAACGCAGCAAAGTCTTATTGTCAAGAAAATTGGATAAGATGGGTGGTGAACCAGCCCTAATTGAGCCCAAATGCAGACAGAAGTAAAGTGTTCAAACCATGTGGCTGGCAGCATTGAAAATCAAAGAGAGAGAGAAAGAGCGAGGAAGCGAGAACGAGACAGAGAAAGAAGGTACTGGGTTTTCAGATGAAAGGAGAGGAGAGTTTGAATAGGTTAAAGAGTGAAGAGAGAGGAATGAATATGGGTAGGAGAGATGACCTGGGCCTAGTTCCATTAGGATTCCTTTCACCTTCTCCTAACTCCTTCCTTTTTGGCATTGGTTGGTCGGGAAATCAATACAGTGGAAGCTTTTATTGTCCTGTTGGAAGGCTAGCTGGAGCATCACCATGTTACTTGAATCTAGACCAACTACAATTTCCAGTTCTATCAGATTTGGAAGCACCAAGAGACTGAAATTGAATGGGGCCCAAGAAGACCATCACTTGGTGTGGGTGGCAAGAGAGCATCAGTGTGATAAAGAGAAAGGAATAGAGCATGTTTCTCTTAAATGTAGCATTCATGTTCCTCTTAAATGTTTTCCTTGTGTCATCTCAGTAAAATGTTCCAAAGCATTTATTCCTCCCTAGGCAAAATGGCACAGGAACAGACGAGAGCTCAGTTCACTATCGCCCCGCCCCCGCACACACACTCTGTCACACACACATGCATAGACTCTGTCACACACAGAAACACACACACACACACACACACACACTGTCACCCACACTCTGTCTCTCACACAGATCAAAGCTAAGTCTCTCACTGTGCGTGTGTGTTTTTTATGCAAGTGACAGTGTGTGTGTACAAGTACATGTTAGTGAGTATTGATGTGTGTGCGAGTGTGTTTGTGTATTTATGTGTGTGTGTGTATGTGTGCTACCCACTGTTTAGGAAACATATCAACATTTTATCAGCAGTCAGTGGGATGTCACCACAAAGGCCTGAGAGACACACCTGTGTGCATGCATTTGAGGGATTGAGTGTTTGTGCGTCAATCTATGATACTGTCCCTCCTACCCTCTTTTTCCCCTCTCTCACTCCCCTCCCTCCCTCCCTCCCTCCCTCTCTCTCCCCTACCCCTCTATCTCTCACTCTTTCAGATATCTGAAGCCCGACACACAGAAGAAATCCAAACACAAAACGGCTGTGATTAAAAAGACCCTTAACCCTGAATTCAATGAGGTATATCCCTGCTGGGTCTCCAGGGGAGACTGGCACAATCCTCTTTCTGGGGGTCAATGTTAATGTCAATGCTAATGAGATGTCCAGTCCAATATCCCACACTCTCCTCATCTGTCATCCTCTCTCTGTCTCTCTCTCGCTCTCCCTCCTCTAGTATACAGTATTCATCACCTCATCTACCCTCTTCCCTTTTCATAGACAAATCTCTCTCTCTCCCTCATTCTCTCTCTATCAGTACTACATCCCCTTTCCTCTGAATTGAATTATAACAATTGATAATAATTTGCAATCGTCTGAACACTTTTACAACTGACACATCAATGTGTTGACAAAGACTTACAGAAAGCATATCAGGAAGGTCCTTTGGTTGGCTCTCTCATCTATATATTTATTTCCCCCCCTCCCTCCCTCCCTCCCTCCCTCCCTCCCTCCCTCCCTCCCTCTCTCCCTCCCTCCCTCCCTCCCTCCCTACCTCCCTCCCTCTCTGTCCCCCTCATTCTACAGCGTGGGCATTGAGAAGTAATAACACCAAGCCTTTTATTTCTATTCACTCAGAAGTAATGTACACTATGATGGGGCATTGATATAATTGCAGGGTTGTAGCTAGTCTGAAACCTATAACTGCCTAAATTCAACTGCAAGTGGAGACAATATAAGGCTGAGTTATAGGCCCGTCTGATGATAGTGCTCCCGCTCATATCTGGTTGTTAATGGATGGGATATACTGTACTGTATGTCTCCAGATCACTTATTGCTAAAGCTATGGTCGTGACGTCACCTATTTCTCAATGACCTCCCATACATCTCCCTGTCATGCGACCAAGGAGTAGTTGTATCAACATTGGAAGCGTTTTGCATAACAAGGGACATCAGGTTCAGTATTCATAAAGTTGCTTGGAGTATAGGTATTGGAGTAGGAGTGATGATCTAGGATCAAATTCCGTCTGTTCATAGCTTTAGCACTGCTACTCTGAGACGCTTTGTGAATACGGGCCCTGTTTTTGTGTGTGGTTTAGTTTTTTCCCATTTAGATTTACAGTACTTCTGTAAGTAATGTCACAGCTACGAGTAGAAGTTACTCTTAGGCACAGATCTGGGATCAGCTTGCCCTTCACAAATCCTAACTTTAGTTATTACAGGGGAAACACTAAAGCTGACCATAGATCAGTGTCCAGTGGTAACCTCCTCCTACTCCTACTGAATGGGCTCTCCTGTGGTTCCCTCGCACCCTACAGGAGTTCTTTTATGAGATCTCCATGTCAGAGCTGTCCAATAAGACTCTGGAGGTCACTGTCTGGGACTACGACTTGGGACGCTCCAATGACTTCATAGGTGAGACTTCACTTTGCACGCACGCACGCATACACACACAGAGCGAGAGAGATGGCGAGAGAGTCAAATCCCGACTTCACACATCCCTCTGCCCACAGAAGCCAAACTTTTGTGCAGATATTCCATTGGGACTTTGAACTCCTGAAAGGTTCCCATGGTGACACTGTTTGTCATGTTTACAGGTGGAGTGTGCCTGAGCTGTCACTCACAGGGAGACCCCCTCTGCCATTGGATGGACTGCCTTAAGAACAAGGGACAGAGGGTGGAGCGCTGGCACATACTGACCAATGAGCTCCCAAGATCCGTATGTCATGAGTAAGGCCACACATCTACTGAGACACAAGGCTGAGTCCCAATTCTTCACCCTTCTCCCAAAGTGTGCACTTGCAGACTTCCAGTCATGGATATATCAATAGTGGAAACTCCCTCAAGGCAATGCTTACATCGATCCAGTGCTTTTAAATCCATGATGGGGAGTGTGCAAATGCACACTTTGGGAGAAGTGTGGAGAATCAGGACACAGATCAAATCATCCCTCTAGCCCCCTACCACCTAGGCATTCCTGGAGATCTGAGAGGATTGGATAGTCCAGAAATGTGGAGGGAACTCCACCTAGCTTATCAGAAAGCAAGGGGGAAGCAATGACCATATTGATCTGGATCCTATCTAAACCTTTCAGATCTACCGTAGTGCCGAGGTGGTAGAGGGTAGGGGTCGATTTGGAACTCAGCGAACATGCAGCATGTCTAGGCTCTCTAGAGCCCTGTTTATACCTGGTTCTAACGTGCTTCCCTCTTCCTGATATTTTCCTGATCTTGACTGTTTACACTTATAAGATCTGATCACAATCAGATAACAATGCGTATTTTAATCGTCTGTCTAAAAATGTGGGCACAATCCAAATGTGGACAGGATCAGGACAAAGGACACATGTTAGCACCAGGTATAAATGGGGATGACTTGCCACAGGATAGGATGCACTACCGGTATGTTTCTATGTGTATAAGGGTGATTCAAACCAACACACCATAACACACCATTGAGATGACACATGCTGAATACAAGTCATATACAGTGGGGAAAAAATGTATTTAGTCAGCCACCAATTGTGCAAGTTCTCCCACTTAAAAAGATGAGAGAGGCCTGTAATTTTCATCATAGGTACACGTCAACTATGACAGACAAAATGAGAAAAAAAATCCAGAAAATCACATTGTAGGATTTTTAATGAATTTATTTGCAAATTATGGTGGAAAATAAGTATTTGGTCAATAACAAAAGTTTCTCAATACTTTGTTATATACCCTTTGTTGGCAATGACACAGGTCAAACGTTTTCTGTAAGTCTTCACAAGGTTTTCACACACTGTTGCTGGTATTTTGGCCCATTCCTCCATGCAGATCTCCTCTAGAGCAGTGATGTTTTGGGGCTGTCACTGGGCAACACGGACTTTCAACTCCCTCCAAAGATTTCTGGCTCTCACAGACCTGTAACTTCTTCTTTAAGAGGCTCCTCTGTCCTCCACTCGTTACCTGCATTAATGGCACCTGTTTGAACTTGTTATCAGTATAAAAGACACCTGTCCACAACCTCAAACAGTCACACTCCAAACTCCACTATGGCCAAGACCAAAGAGCTGTCAAAGGACACCAGAAACAAAATTGTAGACCTGCACCAGGCTGGGATAATAGGTAAGCAGCTTGGTTTGAAGAAATCAACTGTGGGAGCAATTATTAGGAAATGGAAGACATACAAGACCACTGATAATCTCCCTCGATCTGGGGCTCCACGCAAGATCTCACCCCGTGGGGTCAAAATGATCACAAGAATGGTGAGCAAAAATCACAGAACCACACGGGGGGACCTAGTGAATGACCTGCAGAGAGCTGGGACCAAAGTAACAAAGCCTACCATCAGTAACACACTACGCCGCCAGGGACTCAAATCCTGCAGTGCCAGACGTGTCCCCCTGCTTAAGCCAGTACATGTCCAGGCCCGTCTGAAGTTTGCTAGAGTGCATTTGGATGATCCAGAAGAGGATTGAGAGAATGTCATATGGTCAGATGAAACCAACATAGAACGTTTTGGTAAAAACTCAACTCGTCGTGTTTGGAGGACAAAGAATGCTGAGTTGCATCCAAATAACACCATACCTACTGTGAAGCATGGGGGGGGAAACATCATGCTTTGGGGCTGTTTTTCTGCAAAGGGACCAGGACGACTGATCCGTGTAAAGGGAAGAATGAATGGGGCCATGTATTGTGAGATTTTGAGTGAAAACCTCCTTCCATCAGCAAGGGCATTGAAGATGAAATGTGGCTGGGTCTTTCAGCATGACAATGATCCCAAACACACCGCCCGGGCAACGAAGGAGTGGCTTCGTAAGAAGCATTTCAAGGTCCTGGAGTGGCCTAGCCAGTCTCCAGATCTCAACCCCATAGAAAATCTTTGGAGGGAGTTGAAAGTCCGTGTTGCCCAGCGACAGCCCCAAAACATCACTGCTCTAGAGGAGATCTGCATGGAGGAATGGGCCAAAATACCAGCAACAGTGTGTGAAAACCTTGTGAAGACTTACAGAAAACGTTTGACCTGTGTCATTGCCAACAAAGGGTATATAACAAAGTATTGAGAAACTTTTGTTATTGACCAAATACTTATTTTCCACCATAATTTGCAAATAAATTCATTAAAAATCCTACAATGTGATTTTCTGGATTTATTTTTCTCATTTTGTCTGTCATAGTTGACGTGTACCTATGATGAAAATTACAGGCCTCTCTCATCTTTTTAAGTGGGAGAACTTGCACAATTGGTGGCTGACTAAATACTTTTTTCCCCACTGTACAATACAAGGCCTGGATGTTATTAAGCACATCTCCATTATGCTATGGAATAGACTAGTGATGGTGTAGATGGTCCCTTCAAGTTAGATCAGGGTTTCTTTGATTATTGGAATCAGCTGAGTAGTGCTAGGGCAAAAACCAAAATGTGCACCCCTAGGACCGAGTTTGGGAAACGCTGAGTTAGATGGAGACGTTTGTCAGTGGGATGGGGAATGTGGTTCTTGTTGCCTTATGGCCTCTTGTCACAACTCAACATCATACCTCTGATTTTATCTGATTTCATCTGCACGTTTTAGTCTACGGGCTCTTTTACTTCTCTTGTTCAGCTGATTTGATTGATTTCCATGTCTTTCATGGTTATTTTAATAACAAATTGAGATCTATGTTGGTAATAATATGCCTATGCTACACCAATACCGGCACACAAATATCTAACATCAGATATCCTGTTTGTATTGTTGTCATTTGAACCCAAATGGAACCCTATTCCCTATGTAATGCACTACTTTTGACCAAAGCCCTATGGGCCTTGGTCAAAAGTAGTGCACTACATAGGGAATAGGGTTCCATTTGGGACAAACACATTCACTGCATCCCAAACATGACATACACTGATAATATTTTGAATACAGAAGTTCTTCCATGTTGTTGCATGATGCAATACAGTATTGACAAAAAAAAGTTGTCCCCTCCCTAATATAACTATCCCCTGCCCCAAAAAAGTATTTGATTAAAAAAAGTATAATTATTATTACTTTATTTATTATTGAGGTGATTTCCCTGTATTGTTATGTTTGTTTTCTGTCATGTTTCTTATATTTGTCTCTTAATGCACGACTGAATGTGTGAATGTGGGTTTTTACTGACGTTTCAATGGCTATATACGATTATCTTGTTGTGCTTTTAACAATTGTTGTTCTTACATTTATATCAGGTGTTTTGTGTACAATATGAAAATACATTTGGAATGCACTACTGTATAAGTCTGACTTGGTTTCTATTTTGTGAGACGGCTTGGCTGAGGGTAATCCAGTACTCACTCAGTGCTACTGAACAGTAAAATAGCTCACTACCCCCTGGTGGTTCAATGAATACATTACACGTTTTCACATATTAGTAATTTAGCTAACCCTCTGACCATGTTCAACGGTCCTTGCTATCCTGCATCCTTGGGACGTCCCAACTCTGACGTTACCTTATTGAAGTTTAACTTTACAATGCTTCCGATTAGGTAAGGGTTAAAGTTAGGGTTAGGGACATCCCAAAGATCCCGGATAGCACTAACCAATTTTCAACTCCCCAGAAGTTTCAAGCAAGAATCAATAAGACGCTTTTTTTTTTATGTGACAAACTTTTAAATTAAAGGCAACATGAATACAACAACACACATTTTAAAAGAATCCCATTTACTGTACATAAGGCTCTGAACTATCAGCGCCACAGTAACTCTTGAAGTCTGAGCACTTGCTATGAGAGACATTTATATTACATTTTAGTCATTTAGCAGACGCTCTTATCCAGAGCGACTTACAGTTAGTGAGTGCATACATCATTTTTTATACTGGCCCCCCATGGGAATCGAACCCACAACCCTGGCGTTGCAAACGCCATGCTCTACCAACTGAGCTACATCCCTGCCGGTCATTCCCTCCCCTACCCTGGACGACGCTGAGCCAATTGTGCGCCGCCCTATGGGTCTCCCGGTCGCGGCCGGCTACGACAGAGCCTGGATTCTAACCAGGATCTCTAGTGGCACAGCTAGCACTGCAATGCAGTGCCTTAGACCACTGCGCCACTCGGGAGACATAACGAGAGACCATGATGAGACTCTAATGAAGGCATCCTAAGCCGGTTTGTGTCTCCCTAAATAAAATGATCAGATCAGTGCAGACACGGGGCTCTCCTTTTCCTTTAATTTTACTGGAGAGTCACCTTATGAAGTATCCTGGGGTAAGGAATGCGTTTTTGAACTCCTAAACCACATGAGTAAAACTCCAGTCCTTAGATTCAGCACTGCAGTGTCTGTTGGTATTGATTCCTCCCTTTTAATTAATTAATCAGTGTTTCTTAATGGACAAGTTCAAAAAGTTTCACTTCCTTTCCGTTTTCTTCAGTTTCATGCCAAGTGAACACGACCCCGTTTTTTTCTTGCAGGTCTAGATCCTTAAAACTTTTTTTTTTAAAGACCGAAAACAAGCAGACACTGACTGCGGCTCTAAAGGAATTGTGTTTGACACCAGTGTCTTCAACCCATGGTTCATCCTCTGCAGTCTCTAAGGTCAGCAGGCTCCATCCCCTGAGTTACAAGCAGGAAGTGGATCAATACTACAATACGGCAAAAGTCAATAACCTCCCTGTAACAGACTGGGCCCCGCTGCCCTTTGGACGGGCTGGTGCACAAACATACATGCACTGCACGCATACAGTAAAATAAAACACACACGCACAGTAAAAATAAATACGTCTACACACATTTGCTGCTTGCTTAAGGTAGTCCATCACATCTGATGATGACTTCAACTACTGCTTGTGGGTTCACTGATGACTGTATAATCAGATCCGGGATGCACACTGTCTGCCACAGACAGAGCACACTTTGGCCTGTCCCGTTGAAACCGGTGCAGCTATGGTCATACACACCCCTCCATATGTATTTGGACAGTGAAGCTAAAAAATGTCTCTATACTCATTTTGGATTTGAGATTTTTATTCTTATCTGTTTTACCGTTTAGAAATTAAACATTTTTTGTGGATTCCAATTGTGTTTCAATGCGGCAACTCCCCAACGGGCTCGGGAGAGGTGAGGATTGGACAAACACGCAGCTTCTCATACACACCCGGAAGTCAGCTGGACCAATGTGTTGGAGGGGACACCGTTCGACTGATGACCCTAGTCAGCTTGCAGGCGCCCAGTCCACCACAAGAAGACGCTACAGCAAGTTAAGACAAGGAATCCCCTGCCAACCCTACCCTCCCCTAACCCGGACAGTGCTAGGCCAATTGTGCACCGCCCTTGGAATTCCTGCTCACGGCAGGCTGTAGTGACGCCCTTCTGCACTTCGGGTGAAGTGCCTTAGCAGGATGCGCCACTCGGGAGCTCCGTTGCAAAGTACAACTTATAAAGGCTTTATATAGCACTACTTAAACGCTTTACAAATCATAAGCATATGTCATAATCTATAAATGGTGTATGAACTTACATTTGGCAATACACCCTACAGTGGGAATTGTTATGTCACCCGTTATACACCATTTATAGCGTAGGACATACGCTTATAGATTATTTGTGAAGCATTTATATAGTGCTTATAAAGTCTTTATGTATGCTATAAAAAGCCTTTATAGGTTGTACAGCCATCATCCAATGTCTGACACATGAGTCCTGATGTGTTTGGCCAGCTTAGCCTCCTCACTGAAAGCCTTGCCACACAAGCTTCAGGTGTGGGCCCCGCCTCCGGCAGGCTGCATTCCATTATGAACGCGCTGGTGCTTCCTACACGTGTAGGCGTCCTTGAAGCTCATGCCGCAGACAGGGCAGCCATACAGCCGCAGCTCCGTGTGAACGCGTCGGTGGTTCCTCAGTGTGCCATCGTTGTTGAATCGCTTGCCACACAGTGCACAAACGTATGGCTTCTCCCCTGTGTGAATGCGGAGGTGGATCTTGAGACGTGAGACGTGACTGAATATCTTACCACACTGAGGGCACGGGTGGGACCTCTGATCCCCCCTGTTGTTTGTTTGTTGTTGACCCCTGTTGTTTGTGGACCTGTTTAATTGTTGATGACCCCTATTTGTTGATCTATTTGTTTGTGGTTGACGTCTGATTTGACCCGGGTAGAACAGGGATATCAAGGGACCTACGGTACCGGTGGTGGTGGCGTCTCCAAAGTCTAGTTCTGTCCCTGTTGTTACACAACCATCGCTGCCAATCTGACGGAAAAAGCCGTCTGGTATCATGGCAGCACTAGCTGATACCAGGTCAGTGGGGACGCCCGAGGCAGTGGAGGCACCATATCGTCTGCTCTCTGCAACCACTGACTCCAAGTCAGCACTCAGGTCTGAGACAGTGTATCTGGTTTCAACAGTGGCTGGTCCAGGGTCCGAACTGGGGTTTAGTTCACCATACCCCATCTGAGCAGATACTGACCCCAAGTCAGTAGGGCTAGCTTCACTAGGCTCTGTTTTGATGCCCTCAGAGTTATAGTGTAAAACCACTCTGTCCACGGGGCATGATGTGCTGCTCAAGGGATTTGCAGAGGGAAGGAGATGCTGGTCGTCTTCTTCGTCCAAGTCCCTTTTCACAGACGCTGAAGTCAATGGAGCTACTACTGGGGTGGTAGCTGATGTATCGGTCTGTTGCAAGGACAGGGTACGTGGAGAGCTACACAGACTCTTCCACTCGGTGCAGTCTGTGGGTAGCTGGCTATGTGTGGCAGGCATCTCATCTTGGCTCATTACCATGTGGTTCTGGGTCTGTGTAGACTCAGGGTCTGGACTCTGGTCGGAGCTCCACTGGTGCTGCCCAGACACAGAGAGAGAAACAGGCCTGGTCGAGACTGGATGGACAGACAGACCGTCAAACAGACAGAAAATAGAGAGAAATCAGCTTGATTAAGTTCAAACAACTACACAAGCAACGACCCAGACATTAGTTTTCAAGCATTCTGTAGGATGAGATTGTTTGGGTAATGTGGTTATCTACTGGGCTTGAGCCTGTCCAAATGCCCCATATCATAATCTTCTAGAAAAACCTGCGTCTCCTCCCCTTTATCTACACTGAGTGAAAGACTTGACAGGTGAAAACAGTATGGGGAGCAGAGATCATCTGGCTTTCACTTGGTCTTTTTTTTTTTTTTCCCAGATGAGTGCAAATAAAGGAGAGATGAGGAGAGGTTACATTTTTCAGACAATAGACAAAGAGCCATTAGCATTATCACCTGCTGAACACTCCGTTCCCGTGTCGAGTCCAACTTCTCGTAGCCTTCGTTTTAAGAGTTCATTCTCTCTCTTCGTCCGGGCAGTCTCCTCCTCGAATTCTGACACTGTCCCCCCGACCACCTCCAGTATCTCATCTACAGCCACCATTAACCGCTCGGTGAGGTAAGCATTCAAAAGCTGTAGTTTAGCCATTTTCCAGAAATTAGCATGCCCAAAATATTTGTTAAAATCCAATGAAATCTGCCTAGTAACGACCCAAGCTAGACTGTTTTGTAAACATCTCCGCGAAAGCATTCACTTCCTGGTTCTTTAACGCTCCTTGGTCATGTGATAAAAACGCTACCGTAATTCATGAAAAAGGGGAGGCAAGAGTTTTATTAAAGGGGTTTTCTACTTAAGATCTACTGTTAGTTTTGCACCCTTATTAATGAGTATATTAATAAATATCTTGAGTGAAGGTGATGTGAGAAAAGCATCTGGCATCTTCCTTTTGGAAATAAAGAACCTGAAAGATGGTTAAACTTTAACACAAAATAAATACAGAATCAGACATGTGATTTTAATAATTCAATGATTGATTTTAGTCATTTAGCTATTTTTCATACTGCCCCCCCGGTGGAAACGAACCCACAGACGCTCTTATCCAGAGCGACTTACAGTTAGTGAGTGCAAACATTATTTTTTATTTTTCATACTGGCCCCCCGGTGGAAACAAACCCACAACCATGGCGTTGCAAACACCATGCTCTACCAACTGAGCTACATCCCTGCCGGCCATTCCCTCCCCTACCCTGGACGACGCTGGGCCAATTGTGCGCCGCCCCATGGGTCTCCCGGTCGAGGCCGGCTACGACAGAGCCTGGATTCGAACCAGGATCTCTAGTGGCACAGCTAGCACTGCGATGCAGTGCCTTAGACCACTGCGCCACTCGGTAGGTGATGGACTGATTAAATTCATTTTCACAGACACACACTCTTCAATCAAGCTGGAAACATCAGTCAAGATGACATTATCCATTAGTTTTCTACTGCACTCTTCTTATTCATCCAATAATCATTAGGAATATCATGCTACAAAGGGCCTTTGGTTTGAAGAACAAACGGGGGAGCAATTTATTAGGAAAGGAAGACAACAAGACCACTGTAATTCCCCGTTTTGGGGCCCCACGCAAGTCTCCCCCCTGGGTAAAAAGACCCAAAGAACAAAAAACCCAGAAACGGGGGGGAAACCTATAAAAGGGCCCAAGACGGGCCAAATAAAAAAGCCCCAAGTCAATTTGCCCCCGGGGGTTTCCCTCTCAGGCCAGATTTCCCCCCTTTTTCCCAGACATTACCCGGATTTTTGGGAGATGCATTGGATGACCAAAAAGGGGAAATTAAATTGGTCTTTTGAAACAAAATGCTTTTTGGTAAAAACCAAAACTCTTTTTGGGGGAAAAAGGGAAAACACCCGCCCTCCAAAGGACCATGGGGGTGGAAAACATTTTTGGGGCTTTTTTCAAAAGAAGGAGAACCCCCTTAAAGAAAAAAATGAAGGGGATGCGGGTTTTGTGAAAACCCCCACGCGGGCAGAAGATGCGTGGGGTCTTTCAAGCTGTTAAAAAACCCCGCCCCGGGCCAAAAAGTCGGGGGAAAAAAGTTAAGGCCCCGGGGTGGCCAGCCGCCCGATCCCCCAAGAAAATCTTTGGGGGGGGGAAATCGGGCCCGGAAAAACCCCCCCAATCTTGAAGTTCGGGAGGAACAAAGCGGTAATATAAAACCCCAAAGATTGAGAAACTTTTGTTATGACCAAATACTTATTTTCCACCATATTGAATAATATTACAAATCCTACAATGTGATTTTCTGATTTTTTTTCTAATTTGTCTGTATAGTTGACGGTACCTATGATGAAAATTACAGGCCTCTCTCATCTTTTAAGTGGGAGAACTGCACAATGTGGTGACTAAAACTTTTTTCCCCTGTAGGTGTACTGCCATCTCCAATATCGACACATGGTCCTGGTGTTTGGCCAGCTACCGCCTCACTGAAGCTTGCACACAAGCTCAGTGGGCCCCGCCTCGCAGGCTGCATTCCATTATGAACGCGCTGGTGCTTCCTACACGTGTAGGCGTCCTTGAAGCTCATGCCGCAGACAGGGCAGTCATACAGCCGCAGCTCCGTGTGAACGCGTCGGTGGTTCCTCAGTGTGCCATCGTTGTTGAATCGCTTGCCACACAGTGCACAAACGTACGGCTTCTCCCCTGTGTGAATGCGGAGGTGGATCTTGAGACGTGAGACGTGACTGAATCTCTTACCACACTGAGGGCACGGGTGGGACCTCTGATCCCCCCTGTTGTTTGTTTGTTGTTGATCCCTGTTGTTTGTGGACCTGTTTATTTGTTGATGACCCCTATTTGTTGATCTATTTGTTTGTTGTTGACGTCTGGTTTGACCCGGGTATAACAAGGATGTCAAGGGACCTACGGTACCTGTGGTGGTGGCGTCCCCGAAGTCTAGTTCTGGCCCTGTTGTTACACAACCATCGCTGCCAATCTGACGGAAAAAGCCGTCTGGGATCATGGCAGCACTAGCTGATACCAGGTCAGTGGGGATGCCCGAGGCAGTGGAGGCACCATATCGTCTGCTCTCTGCAACCACTGACTCCAGGTCAGCACTCAGGTCTGAGACAGTGTATCTGGTTTCAACAGTGGCTGGTCCAGGGTCCGAACTGGGGTTTAGTTCACCATACCCCATCTGAGCAGATACTGACCCCAAGTCAGTAGGGCTAGTATCACTAGGCTCTGTTTTGATGCCCTCAGAGTTATAGTGTAAAACCACTCTGTCCACGGGGCATGATGTGCTGCTGAAGGGATTTGCAGAGGGAAGGAGATGCTGGTCGTCTTCTTCGTCCAAGTCCCTTTTCACAGACGCTGAAGTCAATGGAGCTACTACTGGGGTGGTAGCTGATGTATCGGTCTGTTGCGAGGACAGGGTACGTGGAGAGCTACACAGATTCTTCCACTCGGTGCAGTCTGTGGGTAGCTGGCTATGTGTGGCAGGCATCTCATCCTGCCTCATTACCATGTGGTTCTGGGTCTGTGTAGATTCAGGGTCTGGACTCTGGTCAGAGCTCCACTGGTGCTGCCCAGACACAGAGAGAGAAACAGGCCTGGTCGAGACTGGATGGACAGACGGAAAATAAAGAAAAATCAGCTTGATTACGTTCAAACAACTACACAAGCAATGACCCAGACTTGAGTTTTCAAGCATTCTGTAGAATGAGCTTGTTTGGGTAATGTGGTTATCTACTGGGCTTGAGACTGTCCAAATGCCCCATATCATAATCTTCTAGAAAACCTGCGTGTCCTCCCCTTTATCTACACTGAGTGAAAGACTTGACAGGTGAAAACAGAGATCATCTGGCTCTCACTTGTATTTTTTTTCTCAGATGAGTGCAAATAAAGGAGAGATGAGGAGAGGTTACATTTTTCAGACAATAAACAAAGAGCCATTAGCATCATCACCTGCTGAACACTCCGTGTCCGTGTCGAGTCCAACTTCTCGTAGCCTTCGTTTTAAGAGTTCATTCTCTCTCTTCGTCCGGGCAGTCTCCTCCTCGAATTCTGACACTGTCCCCCCGACCACCTCCAGTATCTCATCTACAGCCACCATTAACCGCTGAGTGAGGTAAGCATTCAAAAGCTGTAGTTTAGCCATTTTCCAGAAATTAGCCTGCCCCAAATATTTGTTAAAATCCACTGAAAGCTGCCTAATAACGACCCGAGCTAGACTGTTTTGTAAACATCTCCGCGAAAGCATTCACTTCCTGGTTCTTTAACGCTCCTTGGTCATGTGATAAAAACGGTACCGTAATTCATGAAAAAGGGGAGGCAAGAGTTTTATTAAAGGGGTTTTCTACTTAAGATCTACTGTTAGTTTTGCACCCTTATTAATGAGTATATTAATACATATCTTGAGTGAAGGTGATGTGAGTAAAGCATCTGGCATCTTCCTTTTGGAAAAAAAACTACCTGAAAGATGGTTCAACTTTAACACAAAAGAAATACAGAATCAGACATGTGATTTTAATAATTCAATGATGGACTGATTTAATTCATTTTCACAGACACACACTCTTCAATCAAGCTGGAAACATCAGCCAAGATGACATTATCCATTAGTTTTCTACTGCACTGTTTTTATTTATCCCAATAAATACATTTAGGAAATATTCCTATGGCTAAAACACTTCAACGTTTCACAATCCCTTCATGTCCTCCTATGTTTGAAAAGGTGTAGCTGATTCAGTAGCAGCTGATTAGTTAGCGCATTGTCCTCCTCATGTGATGAGCTGCCCTGCATCTGTCAGGTGTGTGTTCAGGTGTACCCGCAGGCCGCTGGCCACGGTGAAGCTCTTGGGACACTGGACACAGCGATAGGGTTTCTCCCCAGAGTGAGTCCGTTTGTGCTTCTTCATGGTGTCTCCGTCGCTGAAGGTCCTGTGGCAGTAGGGGCAGCTGTAGGGTCTCTCACCGGTGTGGATCCTATAATATATAATAAGTATTTTTAAAAAAAAATATATATATATATATAAATGGAGTGAAGAGACTATAACCCAACACCTAGAAACCTCGTTAAGAGGTTTGGTTTTTTTGGCGTAACGGCTAAGGTGTTGGATTGACAGTCGCTGGTCAGGGCTACCGCCTAAATTCACTACAATATACAGTGAGCTACAAAACTATTGGGACAGTGACACATTTTTTGTTGTTTTGGCTCTGTACTCCAGCACTTGGGATTTGAAATGATACAATGACTGAGGTTAAAGTGTCGACTGTCAGCTTTTAATTAGATGGTATTTTCATCCATATCGGGTGAACCGTTTAGAAATTACAGCACTTTCTGTACATAGTCCCCCCCCATTTTAGGGGACCAAAAGTATTGGGACAAATTCACTTATGTGTATTAAAGTAGTCAAAAGTGTAGTATTTGGTCCCATATTCCTAGCACGCAATGATTACAGCAAGCTTATGACTCTACAAACTTGTTGGATGCATTTGCTGTTTGTTTTGGTTGTGTGTCAGATTATTTTGTGGCCAATAGAAATGAATGGTAATGTATTGTGTTGTTTTGGAGTCACTTTTATTGTAAATAAGAATAGAATATGTTTCTAAACACATGCTACCATGATTACGGATAGTAAGCATCCACATTAATTCTACTCCTTTTGCCATGGGGCAAAGAGAAAAATGTTTCCAGTTTTACAGCAAATTTGCTTGAATTCTACCACTTTTGCCATAATTGTTTTCAGTTTTAAAGTACATTTCCTGCAATTCTACACTTTTTGCCATGACTTATGCAATGTTAATGATATCTGAGTGAGAGTGACTAACAAAATCAATGGGGGCCACCTGGAGGTCAGAGCCCCTGGGCACGTGCCCTGCGTGGCTGGTCGGTAGTTGGCCATGATTACTACAAGTTTAGATAGCTTGGTAGACTAATTTACCAATCTAAAAATTGTTAGCTGACATGGCTAATTGAGTGACTGTCAGTGATGACATAACAAGAGACAAATTGCTGATGCACAACCAAATTTCTAACTTGCACCTTATGTATTCTATAATAATAATAATAATAATAATATGCCATTTAGCAGACGCTTTTATCCAAAGTGACTTACAGTCATGTGTGCATACATTGTTATGTATGGGTGGTCCCGGGGATTGAACCCACTACCCTGGCGTTACAAGCGCCATGCTCTACCAATTGAGCTACAGAGATTCTACTATTCTAACTCTCAATAGTAAGTTGAGACCCCAACTGCGGTGCTTTTGTTGCTTATGCCTGGAGCCGGCCCTGGTGATAGGGATGAACCAGGTAATCAACATTCAATGGAGGACAAGTTGTCATAGGCCTAAAACCTATATACAGTGGGGAGAACAAGTATTTGATACACTGCCGATTTTGCAGGTTTTCCTACTTACAAAGCATGTAGAGGTCTGTAATTTTTATCATAGGTACACTTCAACTGTGAGAGACGGAATCTAAAACAAAAATGCAGAAAATCACATTGTATGATTTTTAAGTAATTAATTTGCATTTTATTGCATGACAAAAGTATTTGATACATCAGAAAAGCAGAACTTAATATTTTGTACAGAAACCTTTGTTTGCAATTACAGAGATCATATGTTTCCTGTAGGTCTTGACCAGGTTTGCACACACTGGCCCACTCCATACAGACCTTCTCCAGATCCTTCAGGTTTCGGGGCTGTCGCTGGACAATACAGACTTTTAGCTCCCTCCAAAGATTTTCTATTGGGTTCAGGTCTGGAGACTGGCTACGCCACTCCAGGACCTTGAGATGCTTCTTACGGAGCCACTCCTTAGTTGCCCTGGCTGTGTGTTTCGGGTCGTTGTCATGCTGGAAGACCCAGCCATGACCCATCTTCAATGCTCTTACTGAGGGAAGGAGGTTGTTGGCCAAGATCTCGCAATACATGACCCAATCCATCCTCCCCACAATACGGTGCAGTCGTCCTGTCCCCTTTGCAGAAAAGCATCCCCAAAGAATGATGTTTCCACCTCCATGCTTCACGGTTGGGATGGTGTTCTTGGGGTTGTACTCATCCTTCTTCTTCCTCCAAATATGGCGAGTGGAGTTTAGACCAAAAAGCTCTATTTTTGTCTCATCAGACCACATGACCTTCTCCCATTCCTCCTCTGGATCATCCAGATGGTCATTGGCAAACTTCAGACGGGCCTGGACATGCGCTGGCTTGAGCAGGGGGACCTTGCGTGTGCTGCAGGATTTTAATCCATGACGGCGTAGTGTGTTACTAATGGTTTTCTTTGAGACTGTGGTCCCAGCTCTCTTCAGGGCATTGACCAGGTCCTGCCGTGTAGTTCTGGGCTGATCCCTCACCTTCCTCATGATCATTCATGCCCCACGAGGTGAGATCTTGCATGGAGCCCCAGACCGAGGGTGATTGACCGTAATCTTGAACTTCTTCCATTTTCTAATAATTGCGCCAACAGTTGTTGCCTTCTCACCAAGCTGCTTGCCTATTGTCCTGTAGCCCATCCCAGCCTTGTGCAGGTCTACAATTTTATCCCTGATGTCCTTACACAGCTCTCTGGTCTTGGCCATTGTGGAGAGGTAGGAGTCTGTTTGATTGAGTGTGTGGACAGGTGCCTTTTATACAGGTAACAAGTTCAAACAGGTGCAGTTAATACAGGTAATGAGTGGAGAACAGGAGGGCTTCTTAAAGAAAAACTAACAGGTCTGTGAGAGCCGGAATTCTTACTGGTTGGTAGGTGATCAAATACTTATGTCATGCAATAAAATGCTAATTAATTACTTAAAAATCATACAATGTGATTTTCTGGATTTTTGTTTTAGATTCCGTCTCTCACAGTTGAAGTGTACCTATGATAAAAATTACAGACCTATACATGCTTTGTAAGTAGGAAAACCTGCAAAATCGGCAGCGTATCAAATACTTCTTCTCCCCACTGTAGCCCATATTGCCATACCTGCCCAATGCCCAGGCCCATGACCCATGACCCAGCCACAGAGTCAGTACTTAGCTTTTATGTAAAGATAGACAGCTGTTTAGAAACATATTATATTCTTATTGACCAATAAATACACTACCGTTCAAAAGTTTGCGGTCACTTAGAAATCTCCTTGTTTTCGAAAGAAAAGTTATTTTAATGGACAAAAAAATTGCATCAAATTGATCAGAAATACGGTGTAGACATTGTTAATGTTGTAAATGGCTATTGTAACTGGAAACAGCTGATTTTTTATGGAATATCTACATAGGCGTACAGAGGCCCATTATCAGCAACCATCAGTCCTGTGTTCCAATGGCACCTCTGCCTAGGTCAGCATCCCGGAGTCGCCTCTTCACTGTTGACGTTGAGACTGGTGTTTTTTGCGGGTACTATTTAATGAAGCTGCCAGTTGAGGACCTGTGAGGCATCTGTTTCTCAAACTAGACAATCTAATGTATTTGTGCTCTTGCTCATTTGTGCTCTTGCTCAGTTGTGCACCGGGGCCTCCCACTCCTCTTTCTATTCTGGTTAGAGCAAGTTTGCGCTGTTCTGTGAAGGGAGTAGTACACAGCGTTGTATTTTATTGCTTCTTTAATCAGCATAACAGTTTTCAGCTGTGCTAACATAATTGCAAAATGGTTTTCTAATGATCAATTAGCCTTTTAAAATGATAAACTTGGATTAGCAAACACAACGTGCCATTGGAACACAGGACTGATGGTTGCTGATAATGGGCCTCTGTACACCTATGTAGATATTCCATTAACAATCAGCTGTTTCCAGCTACAATAGCCATTTACAACATTAACAATGTCTACACTATTTCTGATCAATTTGATGTTATTTTAATGGACAAAAAAATTGATTTTCTTTCGAAAACAAGGACATTTCTAAGTGACCCCAAACTTTTGAACGATAGTGTATATTGACTCCAAAATGACACAATACATTATTTACCATTCATTTCTATTGGCCACAAAATAATCTGAAACAAAAATGAAAAAACAAACAGAAAATGCATCCAACAAGTTTGTAGAGTCACAAGCTTGATGTAATCATTGCGTGCTAGGAATATGGGACCAAATACTAAACTTTTGACTACTCTAATACACATAAGTGAATTTGTCCCAATACTTTTGGTCCCCTAAAATGGGGAATATGTACAGAAAGTGCTGTAATTTCTAAATGGTTCACCCAATATGGATGAATATACCCTTAAATTAAAGCTGACAGTCTGCAGTGTAACTTATAGTCATTGTATTACTTCAAATCCAAAGTGCTGGAGTACAGAGCCAAAACAACAATATGTGTCACTGTCCCAATACTTTTGGAGCTCACTGTATAATAATACAACATAATAATGTATGCCAACCTCAGGTGTCGTCTCAGGTTGCCTCTCTGGGTAAAGCTTTTGGAGCACCAGGAGCAGCGGTGGGGCCTCTCCCCCGTGTGGATGCGGTGGTGGCGCCGCAGGTCAGCCGACTGGGCGAAGGACTTACAGCACCAGTCACAGGCGTAGGGCTTCTTGTACTGGAGGTGGAGGTGGAGGCTGGCCGCCTGGCTGAAACTCTCCCCACAGCGGGTGCAGCGGTGTGGGTGCCCCTCCTGGTGGTCGGTGGGGGTGAAGTTGTTACTCTCGTTGTATGGCAACGCCCCGTCCTTGGGCCCAGGCTCTGTTTCATGTGTTTGCTGGTCATGTACGGGTGTGTTATGGCGCTCAGAGATGTCCATATCTGGAAGGTCTTTGAAGCCAGCGTCGCCTGAGAGTTCATGGTTGTGGGGTAGTAGTATTATAGGATGACCTGTGTAGCCTGAACTGGATTTAGGTTTATGGTTGGTGAGGTTCACTGTGACATCGCATTCCTTGGGTTCCATTTTGATCCGTCCCTGGATTGGGTCGATGGGAGAGGACCTCTTTCTCTCTGTCCTAAGGACTGGCACTTCAGCGTTGGCTGCTCCCGTTGTTGTGGCACAGTGGGCATTGGAGGAGAATGGAGACGGGGCCAAGGATGAGTTGTTTCCAAAACCCTTGGGTTCTGAGTCTGAGTTGAGCTCAGACTTTGGGATTGCCTCCCCTGGACTGGGCTTCTCTTCTACTCTGACCGCTTCAGTGTGTCCATGGTTTGGTCCTGTGAGACCCCCATCCTGACCCAACGCTACCTGGGTCTGTGCCTGTAGCCCGTGTCTGTTGACCTGGCTCTGCTGCAGGGGCTCTGGGTCCTGTTCCTGACTGGAGCTCCACTCTTGTTCACAGAGTTGCTGCTGTCCAGAGAGAGAAAGGGTGGTGGATCCTGCATAGAAAGAGGGTGCAAAAACAAAGTGCTGTCACTAAATAATTCAGAAATTTAGTAAATATGTATGACATCGTAATTAATCATAATATTTGTTCATGTTTGGTATTCGGGCACTTCTCACGAGCCAACGTAAAGTTACTGTAAATCGTCGTCAGACAAACAGAAAGACGTCACCCAAAGTAGCTAGCTAGTTGACAGGTTTCCAACTAATTTCTGCATGATCATTAAATGAGTATAATCCAACAAAATGTTCTTACGCCAGTCTGTCTCCGCCAAGAGTAGGATGTCCCGGAGCTGTCGCCGCAGGCTTTCATTTTCTCTCTTCGCGCTTTCATTCTCTCTCTTCGTCCTATCCGTCTCTTCTCGGTACTCCGCCACTGTGTCCCCGACCACGTCCAGAATCTCCCGCACCACTACCGTTAAACGTTCTGTCAGGTAAGCATTCAACAGCTGCAGTTTGGTCATTTTAAACACATAAAATAGTGCAGAATAATGTCTCTCTCTCAGCTGATGTTGTGATTTTACTCTTCGCTTGTTGGTAGTTGGGTGAATAGGAAGTGTGAATGTTGTTTTATCGCCACCTGCTGTTTGGGAAGTGAAATGGCTGTCTTGTTTTGAGCTACAAGGGGGCAGTGCAACCCTGCATAATTTCGTCTTCATCAGTAGTTTTATAACACGACCCCTCAATCCTGGTCCATCCCAACAACATCTGATTCAACTACTCAACTCATTTATCATTCAGCCCTTAATCAAAGAGGTAAGCACCAAACACAAATAACACTAAATAGACAGACCTAGTGAAGCCAGCAGATATACCACCCCAATAGGCTAATTTGTGGTTTTTGGGGTCAGGCCAATGTGCAAGGTGTGTGATTTATCAAATAAATATTAAATTAGCACAAATTAAGGTTTATGTGACCTACAGTATTCAAACCCAGGTTGATGGGGTGCCACAATACTGTGTTTGTCTCGCTGAGCTAAAGCGATTTATCTTGGGGAATTAAGGCAAGTCTTCAGGTCTCAGGCAAGGTTACTCATCACACAAGCATAGTAGGCATATTTAATGAAACTCAATTGAATTATAGGTCAAGGTGATTAAAGATGGGATCTCTTTATCTTTGAAAGAGAAATGCTCAAACATTTTGTAGTCCAGAAAATTATTTGGGTGCTGGGTTCCAAAGGCATATACTGGAAGAAAGAAACGCATCTGTTTTTTTTGTTTTGATCACTGCTGCTAAAAAAGAAGACATTTAAACTTAAATAATATTTCAGTGAGTGCGGGTTTTTCCTTTCTTCCTGTATATCTCCTTATCTTTGCCATGCAGGAGGAGGCTATATCAACATCAACTAACTCTCAACTCCTCTGCAACTCTTCCCCGGGTCGTTGCAGGCGGTGGCTCTCCTGGGAAAATGCAGGTAAGTACAAAAGAAAGTGTCTAGTGTCTAATAAAGGTTAATAACAGTAGCTACATTTTAAGAAAAATGCCCAAGAGAATTCAGACACTGGTAACTGGACAGAGCGAGCCACTGCCAGCCTAGGTCCTCCACCAAAGCTCTTGGGACTGGGATTGGTCGTCTGGGTTTGCATCCCAAATGGCACCCTATTCCATATTCACTGGTTTTGACAAGGGCCCAACGGCACTATATAGGGAATAGGGTGCCATTTGGAACGCATCCCAGGTCTGCCTCTTATCCTCCTGTGGTATCAACATCAGGGCTTTATCGGGAGACGAAGAGGTGCGTAACCCTCTGGACTGGACTGGACTGCCCACTGCCGTCCTCCATACAGGAGAGGAGAGGCTGCAGATTTTGTGGGAGAGGCTGCAGTCCCTTAATCTGATTTATTAATTAGATAATTCATTCAGATTTAACGATGAGATAATTCAGTCAGAGAAGCAAATGAAATCCCTGAAGGTTAACTGTAACCCTCTCTAAATATCTCCTTTACTCTCTTTAACGCTGTCCCTCTCTCTCTACTTCTCTCTCTGTCGCTCTCTCCCTCTACTTCTCTCCTTCTCTCTGGGACGATCTCAATTGCATACTCCTCACGTCCTCTGTCCGCGTCTCCTTCTCAAACCCCATTGGAGGATAAGGTCAGAGGGGCGGGACCTTTTGCTTTCTCATCCAATTGGTTTTAAGAAGGAGACGAGGAGAGAAGACGTGAGGAGTATGCAATTTAGATCTTCCCATAATCTCTCTCGCTTCCTCTCTGTTTCTTTCTCATATTGGTGAACCAGGAAAAGGGGTAGAAAATATGCATCTTGTACTGCATCTTGTACTGACAGAATCTTATGGTTAAAGGTTGAGTTAGAATGTTTGCAGGTGAGTTATTAAATGTTTAGCTGTAGAGTTGAGAACTACTGAATAATATGAGTTTGGCCTGAGTTGAAGGTTTTCGATAAGGTCTTGACTGTTTAGTTTCTGGGGCCAGTGTGGTATTATGTTTTGCCACTAGATACTGCATCATCAAAGGCTAGATACTGCATCATCAGCCTGAACTGAAAGACGCTTTGAATCAGCCATTTCAGAATAATTTTGAAATAGTTATTTACCTGGAATAATTTAGATTTGGACCATTTAACATTTGACAATGTACATTGTGAAGTTAGCACACTAGCTTCTGGAGCACAGTGTTGTTGACGTGGGATGGAATCCCGGGTTGGCTGTACAGGGATGGTCTATGTTACATTCAAGGGGGGAGGATTTCAATAAAGCGTTGCATTCAATGGAAAATAATCATTTTACAGAATATGGAGTGTAGCAGCCAGTGTTGTTCCCTCCCTCACTTTAAGTCCCAAATGCTATCTCCCAAGAGATCTCCTCTCCCTTCCTTTCCCCTGTCCTCTGCAGCACACTGCGTTCTTTCTCTCCTTCTGCTAAAACCGGCAAGTCAGAATCTATCTTCTCTCAGAGTTAAGTCCAATCCCTTCTTACTGCTGCTCGGATCATGTGCCCTATACACACACACACCCTCCTTTGAACTCTACTAAGATATGTGTGTGTTTGTTTCATGGCTCTTGGTTCAGAACATCGAAAGCACAGCATACAGTACACTATTTCTCGTTTTGTTTCTCTCCTTCTCTCCCTCTATTACAGCTCTCTTTTTTTAAAAACCTTTGATTCAGACCCCTCCCTCTCCCCCTTTCCTCTCTGCGTTCAACTGCAATATGATAGTCCGGAAGATTTTTCTTCTTCTCTCCCTTGCTCGATATGTCTACCTTTATGTTTACCTGTATCTGTCTCTCTAGTTCCTTCCTTTTCTGCTTTTGTGTCGTTCTACCTGTTTTCTTTATCTCCCTGTCTTTCTATCGCTCTCTCTCGCCATCTGTACTCCCACTCTGTTCTCTGCCTCCCCCACCCCACCCCACCACTCCTTACAAACAGAACAAGTCTATCCATCTCATTATCTGTCTGATGATGCCTTGTTTTTCCCACTTGTCAGCGATTTGTAGCTACCCCATTTATTTTGGTTTACCTCATCACCTTTTCTTTCTTTCTACTGCCAACTCCAGTAGCCATCCTCCCCAACCCGTCGTGCTCCCCCCCACCCCTCTCTCCCTTCCTTTGTTCTCTCCTCCTTACACCGCTCTTTCTCTATCCACCCTATCCCTCTTTCTCTGCAGCCCCCCTCTCTTTCACCCCATCATTTTCTCTCTCTCCTTTATTCCAGGCACGGTGGCAGAATCTTTTAATAATTCATATGGATTTAAAATGTAAATGGATATAATTTTTATTAACACTGAGAAGTCAGACCTCACTCCCTCCCTGCTCTATCGCCGCTTCTCCGGTTGCTCTCCCTCCCTGCCAACTGTTGCCTTGACAACCGCAACATCCTAGAAACACATAACAGAAATTCACACACACACACACACACACAAGACGAGTGGGTTCCTCGGATATCCTATCTCAAGCACATTCTTAAGGTAGGGAAAAGATGGAAGGAGAGTGAGTCTGACGCAGTTCAGAACTAACGTAGCGAGATGTATTACTGAACATAAATATAAATGCAACATAAAGTGTTGGTCCCATGTTTCTTGAGATGAAATAAAAGGTATTGGAAATTTTCTATACGCACAAAAAGCTTATTTCTCTCAAATTCTGTGCACAAATTTGTTTACATACCAGTTGTGAGCATTTTGCCTTTGCCAAGATAATCCATCCACCTGACAGGTGGGGCATATCAAGAAGCTGATTAAACAGCATGATCATTACACAGGTGCACCTTGTGCTGGGGACAATAAAAGGCCACTCTAAAATGTGCAGTTTTGTCACACAACTCAATGCCACAGATGTCTCAAGTTGCTCAATGTGCTCTTCGCGGATGAATCCCGGTTTCAACTGTACCGGGCAGATGGCAGACAGCGTGTATGGCGTTGTGTGGGCGAGCGGTTTGCTGCTGTCAACGTTGTAAACAGAATTCCCCATGGTGGCAGTGGGGTTATGGTATGGGCAGGCAGGCAGGCATAAGCTACGGACAACGAACATAATTGCATTTTAAAATGTATGCACACACTAACTGTAAGTCGCTCTGGATAAGAGCGTCTGCTAAATGCCTAAAATGTAAAATGTTATCGATGTTAATTTGAATGCACAGAGACACTGTGACGAGATCCTGAGGCCCATTGTCGTGCCATTCATCAGCCGCCATCACCTCATGTTTCAGCATGATAATACACAGCCCCGTGTCGCAAGGTCAACTCTATGCGAAGGAGATGTGTTGCGCTGCATGAGGCAAATGGCGGTCACACCAGATACTGACTGGTTTTCTGATCCACACCCTGCCTTTTTTTGTAAGGTATCTGTGACTAACAGATGCATATCTGTATTCCCAGTCATGTGAAATCCATGGATTAAGGCCTAATGAATTTATTTCAGACTGATTTCCTTGTATGAACTGTAACTCTTTCCTTATATGAGCTGTAAAATCTTAGAAATTGTTGTTTATATTTTTGTTCAGTGTAGCAATGTACCATGTGAAACAGAGCTCGTACTCAACTAGGGTTTATTCACAAGGTTCCTTTCAAACTTGATCAATAATCATAAATAATCAGAGCAGGATCAAGATCAATACAGAGTGCTTTATCAATATCTTGGATTAACATAGTAGTGTACACACATACTCATACTGTCTGTTTATAAAGCAGTCAATTAAGGCATGCACAGTCAGGCAAGTCTGCACAGATGTCTGATTCAGGATTATAGTATAGATCCGTAACCAATGACAATAAGAAGAACAACACTGATTAACTAAGTGGGCCGATGGTCTGGAACCACCGGTGCTGCAGTCTGTGGTTACCTCCCAAATGGCACCATATTCCCTATATAGTGCACTACTTTTGACCACAGCCCTATGGGCCCTGGTGAAAGGTATTGCACTATAAAGGCAGTAGGGTGCCATTTGGGAGTCATCCAAGATCCCTCTTCTAAAGAGATAATATATCAAACAGGATATAGATTATATTGGA